CTGCTGGCCAGATTCATGGAAGTAGTAAGACAAGGGGGAGCCACGGGGAGGGGTCGGGAGAGTGGTGAGGGCCGGGCAGATAGGAAACTTCATGTTCTACCAATCATGTATACTCACTCACCTTTATCCTGGATCCCTCAGCTCAAGGCAAAGGCCAAAGTCCCCACCAACTCTGCACTCTGCCTGCCCCTTCTCTCGCCTCCTTCTGCTTTGCTCTGGCCACTCTGGCCTTCTTGCTGCCCTTGTTGCACAAGCAGGTGGCTGTCTGCCCAGCCCTCTGCATTTGTGATGGTTTCCCACTGCCGTGTGGTTCCTTCAGAGGGACACAGGCCTCACCTCATGTAAACTTTTGTTCACACATCACCTTCTCGTTAGGATCTCCCTGGCTACCTGAGTTTAAATGGCAGTTGCCTGTCCCACCCTACCTCACACTCCCTATCCTCCTTCCTACCTTTCTCTCACTCCTTAGATTCCTCACCTTGTAATGTACTAAATTTACCAAATAAATTGTTCCCTGATTAACCCCTCTGGTGAGAATATACGCTCCCTGAGGATAGGGCTTTTGGGGTGTTGTGTCCTCTACTCTGTCTGTCTCTCCTACTACATAGATTCACACCAGGCACAAGGTAGTATTGTTACAAGAATACATACACATGCGTGCGCACGCGCTCACACACACACACACACACACACACACACACACACCTGGTACAATCCCTGAGCTGTGGGTAGGGAGGGTGGGAGGGAGAGACTGAGTCCTGGGGCACCGGAAATGCCAGACCCCTGACCCCCTGGCCCGGCGTCCCCTGCTAGCCTCCTACGCGGTGCAGGCCTGCAGTGTGCTCACTGGGGAGCTCTTTGCGCCCTGCTCTGCATACTTGAGTCCTGTGCCCTACTTCGAGCAATGCCGCCGGGACACCTGTCGCTGTGGGCAGCCCTGCCTATGCACCACACTGGCCCACTATGCCCGCCTTTGCCAGCGCCATGGGCTCCCAGTTGACTTCCGTGTTCACCTGCCAGCCTGCGGTGAGTGTCCTCCTGTGTGCAACAGGGAGGGTGGGCTGTAGAAGCCTAGGCTTTGGACCTGGGTGTCCACCGCCCCCCAGACTCCTCCATCCTGATGCCCCTTTTCCTGTGCTCTCCACTTCTGCCAATGGCCCCCGACCCTTGTCACCTGGGAGGTGACACTCAGGACTACTTCCTATACCCTCACCTGAGTCTATCTCCAAGGCTGCCAATTCCAAACCCACTCACTTCTCATTACCTCCTCTGCCACCAACTTAGTCGGAGTCACCTCGCTGCAGCAGGAGGAGCTCAGAGGCCCTCTGGCTTGAATGAATGCATACCTCAGTGTGCATAAGCCACCCTACCCTGGCTCTGCTCCTCCCCAGGTCTCACTCCTCTGTGCGCCTCAGCTCCGGCATGGGGCTGGACTCTCAGTGAGTTTCTAGCTGACATTTAGAATAAATGGAAAGACACTGTCCTGGGTGTCAGGAGGCCTGGGTTCCAGCCCTGCTGGTGACTTGCTGTCTGTTGCTGTACAAGACCTTATACCACTCTGAACCAGTTTCTCCAGAGATGATTGGACAGAACCAGTGGTTTTTTGATGCTGGCTGCACATTAGAACACCACAAAAACTTTTATTTAAAAAATGCACGTATCTAGGCCACATCCAGTATCAACTAAACCAACCTATCTGGCGGGGGTGGGGGCAGGTGTCAGATTCTTTTCAAACTCCCCAGTTGGCTTTCATGCACAGCTTGGGATGAGAACTCCTGACCTTGACCTTGTGGGAGGCACTGTGTTTGGCTGTTCTTATGAAGTGAGAGGCAGGGATTCTGGAGCCAGACCTGGATTCACATCTCTTTGACCTTGACCTGTGCTATGACCTTGGGCAGGTGTCTTGATTTCTTTGGTTCTCAATTCTCCCCCTTCAGGATGACAGTTCCCACCCCACACAGTTGTGGAGATGAGAGAAACAGCACCGTTCCCCTTCCCTCTTGCAGCACTGTCCTGTGAGGCCACCAAGGAGTACAGCCCCTGTGTGGCCCTGTGTGGACAGACCTGCCGGGACCTGGCCAGCCCTGAGACTTGTGGGATTGATGGGGGTGCTGACTTCAGCAGGGATGAGTGTGTGGAGGGCTGTGCCTGTCCCCCAGACACCTATTTGGACATCCAAGCTGACCTCTGTGTCCCCAGGTGAGTGGCCCTGCTTGACCATTGATTGGTCAGGTGGGAGATGAGGCCAGGGGTCTCCATGGCCTCTGAGACTGGGGAGTTGTATTGGCCCCTTCGCGTGTCCCCAGTGCACATCACAGTTGCAGGTCACACCTTGGTGGGTAAGGTAAGGGCTCTCTTTTGGCCTCCCTTCCAAGCCTGTCCTTGGTCTTGACACTTCAGGCCACTCAAGATGGCTTTCCCACAAGACAGAGCAACCTGCAAAGCCAAGAGGGCCTCCCTCTACTCATCTCCTCTCCTCCTGTCTAAATATTTATTTATATCCTATTAGATTCTACCAATTTCTAGGTCCTGGTAATTCAGCATTGAGCAAAACAGAGTCCTGCCCTCGGGACTCAATTTCCAGGATAGTGAGGCAGACATAAAAAACACATCGCTGAAACGGGTGGGTGGTAACAAGAGCTACCATAAGTGCGATGAGGACAGGAAGTCCTGAATTGTTATGTCCATGCGCCAAGCAAGGAGTGGGGCCCCTCTGTGGCAGCAGCAGCTGGAAGAAGGAAGAGGGATCCAGGCTGGGGAGATGGCCTGAGGCCAGCTTGACTTTTCAACTGGAGGGCAGAGTGGGAAGAGGGTAGGCAGTGACCCCACATGGTCCTAGGGCAGGGCTGGGGATTTAGCTCAGTGGTGCCACCTGCCTCTCAAGCACAAGGACCCAAGTTCGATCCCGGGTTTCATTTAAAAAAATAAAAAACCCCACATGATCCTAGGGCAACTGGCAAGGCCTTTGGTGACCTCCCAGCCTCAGTTTCTTTATCTGGAAAATGGTACACTGATTGGTTTTCCAGTGGTGAGGGACTGGAGGGAGATCCCTCTGTGGAGAAAATGGGAATCAGTTGGAGCCTTTTTTGGAAGGGTTTTATAGCACCCCATTGTGAGATCCAGATGTACACTCCACCCACACGCACACTCCATCCCTTCTAATGACCTGTGGCCCACAAAGGAGGTCTCTGTAGTCCCATAGAACAGAGAGGAGGTAGATGAGAAGCACTGGGCTTGATTGAGCTCAGGGGTCCCTTCCAAACCCGGCCTTCTCTGCTCCAAAACCTGCACATGCCCAGAATTGGCAGGTACTCTGGGAGTTGTGTGATGAGGAGGCACAGCCTTTGCCTCAGATATAAGTAAAGGAAGACTCATGAGACAGCGTAAGAATCCCTGCCTCCAGGATCCCTGGAAGGAGTCGATGAGATAATGTCCATGAGGGCCTAGCATTTAATGATCAGTACGGCACAGGGACTGGCCAGGCACAACAGATGCCGGGTGTGAAGGACCAAGGCCGGTGCACCAGGATGCCACATCAGCGGAATTCCTGCCCACCTCAATATGGCTTGGGGTCCAGAAGTGGAGTCCTGTTCTTACCACCTCTCCTGTCCTCCGACCAAGTGGGGCTGGCTGTGTGAGGGGACAGAGTCAGTCCAGTGGGGTTGTCCTTGTCTAAGCTCGGTAAGGGCCCCGAATCTGGGACTCAATCCTGACCTCTGTCTCTGGAGCCAGACTGGCTTTCCCAAATCCATGACACATGTCACAGTAGGTGCCATTACTTCTCTGAGTGTCCTTCTGTCCCCTTCTGGCTGAGGGTGGGCTTTCTGTCCTTGGCAGTCTCTTCCCAGGTCCCAAGTCTGCTTACTTTTCCCTGTTCCTGGTTTTTGTAGGAACCAGTGCTCCTGCCACTTTCAGGGGGTGGACTATCCCCCTGGGGACAGTGACATCCCATCCCTGGGCCACTGGTGAGCTCCCTGGGCACCAGCCTCATCGTCCTTTCTCTAAATGGAAGAGCTGACTCCTGACAATGTAGCTGAGTGGAACTTTCCACGAAGTGACACCTATGCTGCTGCCCCCACCATGCGGGGGGTGGGGGACAGTGAGTGCGGCTGTCTGTGGGGACTGTGCAGTGACCTGGGTGTGGTGACGTGGGCTGTGCAGGCCCTGCAGTGAATGGGCCGATTCACCTGTGTCCCCCTCTCTGCAGCCACTGCAAAGATGGAGTCATGAGCTGCGATAGCAGAGCCCCAGGTAAGGGTAATTGGGGCTCCCACGGAAAGGATGGTGGGGGGCTGGGGCATCCATCAGGATGGGGAGAGCCCACTGCAGCTCTTGCCCTTCCCTGGGTGGAGGGTGGCATCTGGAAACCCTGTCCCAACCTCAGCCCCATTCTGAGCATCGGGGGTGTCTGGACGGTGTCTTGGCCTCCCCTGGGTCTTGGATCCTCTCAGTGTGAACGTTAAGTGTCTACTGAGGCCACCTCCGAGCCCAGTGGTGGATGTGGGGTCAGAGTGGGGGCCTTTGAGACTCCCAGACAACACAGATTGGGAAGGGTGTGGAAAAGTGGTGGGGCAGCCTGTGGGGGGCTTGGGGGTGGGGTAGAGGGTGGGTGCTGCTTCATTCTGGAAGGGCCTCCTAAGGATGGAGATTAGCACGGGGAGGACTGGAGAACGATCAGTCAGGTGGTTAAAAGAAGGGACTTGAGGTTCGGGCAGTAGGAGTTCAAATCCTGATGAGTCCTCACTAGCTGTGCACCCCTGGGTAACTCACTTTACCTCTTTGCACCTTCATTTCCTCTTTTGTAGATAACCTAGCTTCCTACGTCCACATCCATGTTTTGTGTATATTCCTGACTGTATTTTTCTTTTGGTCACTTTGGTTTGGATTTCTGCTTCTCTGGGACATGGCTGTTCCTTTCTCTGCCCCATCCCAGCCTGGGTGTAGACCTCAGCTGTTTTTTATTGATTTCCATAAAAAGATCACTTACACAAAGTGCAGTTGTGCGAATGGGTTTATGTCACAGAAATACAGGTGACAGGAAATTGACTCTCCCTGTTGTTAAAGTCCTCTGGTCACCCTGCCATGCTGCTTTGCTGTCCTCTTTCTGGCTTTTCTCCTGGTCCCTCTGGGGTTCTTCTTCTTACTCCGTGACATCTTTTGAAAGCAGAAGCGGCTTCGCTGTATCCTATGGGAAGAGGAGGGGAGATAATAATACCCCCCCACCCGAGAGGTTTCAGGGTTAAATAAGACAATACACAGGCGGCACCTGGCGCCGCACCTGACGTGGAAGGCATATTCAGTAATGGTCCCGAGAATGTCCCTCCTTCCCCCTGTGACCCTGGTATAGGAACCCGAGCAGTGCTCCAGGAGCAGCCCTCACTCCTTGTCTCTTCCAGCTGCAGGGCCCCAGCCCTCCCTGGTCACCCCCACAGCGTAAACCAAGGCTCAGGCATACAGCGCCTCCCTCTTGTCTTCCAGCGGCAGCCTGCCCAGTGGGCCAGGTCTTTGTGAACTGCAGTGACCTGCACGCAGACCCTGAGCTGAGCAGAGAGAGAACGTGTGAGCAGCAGCTGCTGAACCTGAGTGTGATAGCCGGAGCCCCCTGCCTGTCAGGCTGTGCCTGTCCCCAGGGGTATGGACCCATGTTGCCATGGTTTCTCCTGCCTGAAGGCTGGTGGATTGCAGGGTGGAGGGCTTGCAGGGGGGCGCTAGCCTAGGGCAGCCATGATGCTGGTGGGAAGCCTGGGAAAGAGCAGAAGCTTAAGGACCCAACCTGGGAGGGATTCTGTCTGGCTCTGTCTGCTCTTCCCTGGTGACCCTGAATGAGGGAGACACTAAGGCTCTCAGAGACCCCATTTTTCTCTTGGAAAATGGAAAACAGTCATAATGCCCATACCTTATTAAGTGGCTTAAGTGAGGTTCCGAAGTGGGAGCACTGACCTGGGAGTCTCTCCAGAGACACCAGATGGGATAAAACCCATGTTTCAGTCCCCCACGTCTTCCCCTGCACAGTTTCGAGAAAATTCCTTGGATAAAGGGCTAGTGACTCTGGAACACTCAAGAAAGGTTCCACCCAGTGGGAAGAATCTCCTTACCAAATCCCCAAAACACTGCCCTTTGCACCATGCTGGAGCTCCAGGAGTTGCGTCTCAGGGTTGTACTTCCTGTGTGCTCTGTATACACAGGTGGCGGGAGGGCCTACACCCAGCTCTGCCAATCAGTGCTCATTCCCAGGTTTGGGTCAAAGAGTCCATTGGGCATCCCATGCCTTGGCAACACCAGATTGTGCCCTTCAGAGATTAGTGATCAGCCAGGAGTCCTGGCCTAGGCCTAGCAGCCACGGAAGATTAGGGGAGGGTCAGGACTTCTAGGGTGGGAAGCCGAAGGGACAGAGTTTTGCTGTCTGTAGGACACTTTGACTTTGTTCCCTTCTTAATCTTAGAGTAACTATGGGAGAGAAGAGGGTTAGATTCTTATTGTCATGTTGCAGAGGAAGAGGCAGTGCAGGGGGAGGATGCAGGGAAATGGTCTGGCTGAGGGACCATGACTCAGAACCAATCTCCTTACTCCAAAACCTGTCCCTTGTCCAGACCCGGTTGGTTCTGTAAGACCTGAGGTCTGGTCCTCTACACAGAGGTCACAATGTGGATTTTGTCTCTTCCTGGGCCAGGGCATCCACAGTGGACCTGCATAGGCTCCCAGGCCTGTCCTTCTGCTGCCACTTAGGCCCCAGACCTTGTGAGGAGTGTCACTGTCACAGAAGGCCTCCTGGGGCACCATCCCACATGCACAAGTTTACCTCAGACTGGACTATATCCCCAACCTTTAATGATTAATTATTAATTAATTAAGAGGCAGGGTCTAACTGAGTTACTGAGTTGCCCAGGTTGGGCTTGAATTTATGATCCTCCTTCCTCAGCCTCCGAGAGGGCTGGGATTACAGGCATGTGTGCCACTGTGCCTAGTTTAGCTTGTCAGATTCTACAAAAACTGGTCTGTAGAATTTGATTAAATTTGTGTTAAATCTACAGGTTGTTTGGTGCATGGGGGGGGGAACTGACAACACTAGTGAGCTTAATCCACAAGTATGGTGTTATTTCCCCATTTACTGGGTCTTTTTTTTTTTTTTTCATTTCCCTCATTAATGTTTCCTACTTTCCACATAAGGTTTGGCATTTTGTTGTTGAATTTACTCATAGGTGCTTTTGTGTTCTTAGTTGATATTGTAAATATTTTTATTATTTTTTGTTTGTTGTGGGAATGTAGAAATACAACTTACTTTTGTACGCTTTCCTTGTATTCTGTAATTTTGCTAACTTCATTTGCTCAGTCATAATGGCCTTTTTGAAGATTCTTCAGAATTTCTTTACTTCTAATCTTCACGCTTTCCCCCATTGCCTTGCAGTACTGGATATTATTTCCAATAGAAATGATAGGAGTGAAATTTGTTGCTTTTCTCCTCATTTTAGGGTAAAGCAACCAGTTCTTCTCCATTAGTGAAAATATTAGCCGTAATGTGTGAGTGTGTGTGTGTGTGTGTTTGTTGTTTTGTGGCACCAAGGATCAAACTCCGGACCTTGATGCAACTGAGCTAAATCCCCAGCCTGTTGTTTTTTTTTTTTTCAGCTTTAATTGAGTTTATTGGTACATTTTAGGGATACAGTACAGTTACATTCATTGTTGGGATCTTGTACCTCTACAAGTCTTGATTCTCATTTTTTCCCCTTACCTTGCCCTCCCTTCACTCCCTGATGCCCTTTACCAGATTTACTTCTAATATGTCGAGAGTTTTTGTAATAAATGGGTGTTGAATAATACTTTACTTTGTTACTTTGGCAAATTGTGTAAGTTGACTTTCTAATATTGAACCCACTTTGCATTCCTGGGATAAACTCAGTCATGATGTATTACTTATTATTTAATATTCTATGTTTGTAGGAGATTTTGGTCTGTGGTTTTCTTTACCTGAAATGTCATTATCTGACTGTGGTAGCACAGTAGTGTTGGCCTCATTCAATGAGTTGAGAAGTATTATTTCTTTTTCAAGTTTTTTTGAAAGAGTTTGCTTAGAATTGGTATTATTTCTTCCTTAAATGCTTGATAAAACTTACTAGTCTAGAGAAATTTCTAACTTCAAATTCAATTTCTCTAATAGGTGAGACTTACTCATATTTCTATTCCAAACTATGAACTTTCATAGTTTATATCTTTTAGGAATTTATCCATCCCATCTAAGTTGTCACATTTATTGGCTTAATTCTGTAATACTATTCTCTTGCTTTCCTCTGAATGTCTGCAGTATCTGTAGTTTTATCATCTCTTTTTTTCTTGATGTTGGTAATTTCCATTCTCTCTCTTTTGTTGTTGTTATTTTAGCCTGAGAGTGGTTGATTTTATTATGTTTTTTTTTTTTGGTAATAATTCATGATTCCAGGTTAGTAATTCTTCCTTTTAGTGGTTTAATTTTTATCATTATTACCTTGTTATATAACATATGTTGGCCTTTTGAATTGTCAACAGTTTGACTCTCATGTGCCTATGTTGTGTGTGTGTGTGTGTGTGTGTGTGTGTGGTGTGTATTGTGCTTGGACTTCATGGAGTTCATCAAAATTGACAATGTTTCAGCCATTATTTCTCCAAATGTTTTCTCTGGGATTTCAATAATATTTCTGTTAGAATAGCTAATATTATTTCATATGTCAATGAAACTCTGTTTTTCCCCCAGCCTTTCTTCGTATTTGACTGATTCTTTCTCCCTACTTCAAGGCTACTAACCTTTGCTTCTAAAGTATTTAGTTTTCTGTTATGCCTTTTCAGCAAAATATTCATTTAAAGTTATGTTTTCAGAATTTCTTTTTTAAAAATATTCTTAAGCTTCTGAGATTCTCATACAGTTCATTGTATCTTCCTCCTTTTAATCTTAAACATACTCAAGTGCTAATTCTATTACGTATATCATTTTAAGATCTATTTTAATTATTGAATTACTTTTCTCTTAGTCAAGGTCACATTTTTCTGTTTCTTCTTATATGTAAAAATTTTTATTAGATACTGGGTATTATGAACATTATTGTATTGACTCTGAGTGTTGAATTTCATGCAGTAGGCAGTTAATTTACTGCTTCATTAGCTTGATCTTCTCAAGATTTATGTTGGAGATTTGTTAGTTTGTCTACAGAACCACTATTCCCAAAGCCTGAGGTGTTAAAGGAATTCCTTCTAAGACAGAATCCTGACATCTCCCAGAACTGCATTGCACCAGAAATCTTCATTAATCTCACACTTGCTCAACAGCTGACACATACCAAGCCTTCAGAAATCTTTTCTCGCTTATGCCCAATTTAGTATTTAGCCAAAGACTTAAGGTAGCATCTATGCAGAATCCCAAACTCTTTCCCCGAGAAGATCCCTCCTATTCTATATCTTGATCTGGAGCCACCTCAGAAGCCCTGAACTTCAGTTTGTCTCTTCTGCTGAGTGACCCATGGATCTCTGCTTAAATTTCATCTTTCTGCACAGTCGTCCAGAAAGGGCTTCCAGGCAGAAAATCTGAATACAGGGAGGAACTAACTAAAGACTCTTTTTATAGTCTCTGAAGCAGGGTTTCTCTATGACTTTTAAAACTATATACTAATTTTTCTTTGAAAAATAAAATAAGAAGGTTAAATAGCTTGTCCTATGCAGATCCTGGACTTAAAACTAAAATTTGCTTCTTGCCAAAGCTTGTAGTCTTACCCTTGCCTCAACTGTACCCCGGTGATACCTGGGCATGGCCTGAAATTGTGACCTGAGGACTGCAATAAATTGCCAGAGTTGTCCATGGCTCCTGCCTGGAGTGGATCAGATTATATGGAAACCAGACAAGAAGGTGGTAGCACTGTGGCTTTGCCACTCGTGGTCTGAGAGCTCCATGAACAACTGGTAGGAGGGCCGGTGTCCACGACTGTTATCTGTTTATTAGTTTAACCTTAGTGCCTAAATGGTAACTGGCATCTTCCTGACCAGGGCAGCTGTGTCTGAATGGCAGAGACTTCTGAACTGGGCCAAGCCTGCTTCTGGTTTTTCCATTTACCAAGTTGCCTCAGCTTCGCTGGGAAGCAACAGGATGGGAGTGGCACATGGTTGGTCTCTTCTAGGATCAATGCTGAGACCCACCTGGGGTATACACGTGTTGCGTACTTTTCCACAGAATGCAGATCTAGGAGGCGAGCTCTCCTGATCCCTTGCTTGCTGTGTTCCTACAGCCTGCTCAGACATGGGGATGCATGTTTCCTGCCAGAGGAGTGCCCATGCACTTGGAAGGGGAAGGAGTATTTCCCTGGGGACCAGGTGACGTCTCCCTGCCATACCTGGTAAGTGAGGGCCCTGAGCAGGCTTTGCTTTTTGCTAGGAAGGGTGTGGGTGTGAAACATGTAATCATGAGTATAATGTAGCACTCCCCTTCTACTGTGTTTATATTCATGCTGCATGGTTGTATGTTTTGTAAGGGTTCACGTACATACACAAGTGTGTGTCTATAAAATAATGTTTTGGAGTTTTGAGACTACTTACATGAGTGTAAGTTTAGTCAACATGTCTAGGGATGTGGATACTTGCATGAGAATGTGTTTGCACATTTAAATGAACATGTAAGTGGGCACAAATCACAGACTGCATTGATGAACATGCATGTATTTGGATGAAAGGACAGATATTTGTAAATCTGAATATGTTCATGAATATATACAATTAGATATTTGGGTATAAATGTAGGAATGATTATATATATTTGTGTTCATATACTTTAGTGTGTGTGGACATGTTTGTACAAGGTATGTAATTATGTGTGTGCATTGCACATATATATTTATGCCCACATGTGAGTGAATATATATGTGTCAGTGTGCATTTTTTGGTCTGTGAATATATACAAGCCTGTATACAAAAGTAAGAGTGTATATGGAGAATATGCACACTATGCTCAGTAATGTGCGTATACATATAGCGGAGTATATGCGTCTAGGCTGGGTTCCATGGCAACAGACTCAGATCTGGTTGTGTAGAACCTGTGCTAGGTCAGGCAGCAGGAGTAGATACTAGGCAGACACAGCCTTCTGATGGAGAAAGCACTGGGGAGGGGGTGAGAAATAATAAACCGGTGCCCTGATGTTGAAGAGCAAACTCAGCTCCTGTTCCAGTGTTA